ATCAGAGTTTTAGAAGCGCGTTGCTTCAGATTATCCGGCGAGTTATGCTGGAATTTTAAATTAGACTGAATTTAAGACGCGTTAATACTCGCCATAATATCCGTCACGTGTCGGGAGACGCGAATACTGGGATACCCGTCAGACGTTCAAGACGCCGTCAGCAAACGCTTGACTCGAGTCGTTTCAAAGTTTTATTAGCTGCCACGGCATGGAAACACGACTTCGTTAATATCAAAGTAATTGAGAACGAAACGGAGAGTCTTATTGAAATTACCTATTTGCATTTATGCTGATATTTGTTCAAGCAAACTTGAGACAAATCAGTATGACTTGCGTCGCGTATTATCTATTTTTCACTTTTCGCAATTATATCAAGATTTACTGATCTCAAAAATATGTAGAACATCTTTTTATATTTATGCATATTAATTAACACATTCGCAACGTCGTGCACCATCGGTGGTACATTTTATTTAATCGTAAAAAGGATACAAAAAAATCGAAATTCCTGTTGAAACGAATCAGAGCCATTGTTAGAGCGAATAAGTTTAGTATCCTTTAGATTTTGGATCTATTTCACTTAAACCCAAAACAATAAACTTATTTGTTTTAACAATTGCGGCTTGGCTTTCGATTGCAACTTGGATTTCTATAAAATAAATCTAACCGTTTATTTAATACAAAACTAGGAGTTACAAAAACAAATTTGCTAGCAAAAAACATTCACTGTTGTTGCTTTTTTTTGCTAGAGAAAAATAATTAAAATGCATTTCACGGTTTAAATGAAATCTTTACTTCTTTATCCACAAATGTGTTATTTTAATACGATGTAAAATGTGAGCACAGATCAGTTTACCGAACACGCGATATAAGGCCCGCCAACCCTCATTAACGTTTTTGATTAAATTTCAATTCCATTTCACCACTATTAGATATGCGATACCCGACTTTATCACCGCGTACCGTCAACTTTAACTCTTATCGCCGATCCTTAATCCGCAATGGTAATTTTTTAAGCAGCACAATGTAGTTTCCACCCCCCCAGCTAGCTTTGTCGGTTTTACACTTCGGCTTAAGATCGAATTTATTGCGTAGCGCTACACGCTACACGATATATCAAGTTTTTTTTATTACGGAACGCGTAAACCGACAAAGTCGACCTACTTACGCCCGTCGGTGACGTAAAAGCCAGTTAGATTTCGCGTTTAAATGTCAGCCGTGCGTGCCGGCATCTAAAATATCGGTCCGATAAACGCCGCGCATTAATTTATCCCGAGACGCTCGCGTCGCGCGCGATTTCTCTTTGGCCATCGCGAAAATATGGTATGAAGAATGCATACAGACTCCAGACGGGTAGGAAAAAGGGAGGGCGAGGGCGGAGGTCGGCAATGTATATCTACGCGGTTGCGGGAGATTTCGAGCAGATTTATGATAACGGTATGCATCTGGGTCGGCCAATCAGTCTTCCGCCTGCTGGGCTGCAATCCTGGGCTCTCTCGTTCGCACCTGCACTCACATTCGCGTTCAAATCTCGAATCGAATTCAAATCCGGCCGGCCTAACTGTTTGCGATCTAGCCGGAAACTCGAAATAGATTAGCTCCGATTACGACGTCCCCGCCATTCAGATCCCGAAACGAAATTCAATCGGCGAGTCGCCGGTGGTAAGAATTGGTTTATTCCACTCGAACTTGCTTGTCACTTTTGTCGGAATTATTTTATTTCCTCCGCGGCCTCGCGGATGTTTAAACGCGGATGTTTGCTTCGTTGAAATTTCTTTTTTTTTTTTTTTTTTTTTTGCAACGTCAGGCAAATGACAGAAATATTGGGAGGAAAATCGCGCCACTGTGTCGCGTATGATATATTCGTTATTGTAATAATCGCTGATGTTTGTGCGATTAATAACACGTTACAAGCGCGTTGCCGAAGTTGCTATTTTTCGTCTCGCTAATGTAACGCGCTCGTTGCATTATTATAGCGCACGTCAATTGTTGTGCATGCATTTATCATCAAATCGTGCATATAATCATCCGCAATATGAATGCTGTATTGATCGCCAATCTATTGCGATTGATATCAATAATTCATTATTCATTCGCAACGGGTGAGGGACGCGTGCATTGAGAGATCGAATTAAACGCCGAGCAATTACGGTGAACGGTCCACTGCCGAGGGAGTGTGTTAAAATTTCACACGGCAACAACGCGATTGAATCTCACAGCAACGCGACGGTGTCGCGAAGTTGCTAATGAAGTTTCTCCTCGAATAATTTGCAGCCCGAGTCTGTGCCCTTTTGTAAAACACTTTCGAAAGGCTATCGGTCTCCCTTTCTCCTTCTCCCGCTCTCTCGCTCTTTATGTGCCGTCTCTTGTGCGGCGAATGCGCACATAGCGTATATGCAACGCGCAATCCCGACGACGATGCATTCCCAGGGCATAATTCAGGCCGTCTTATACTGTTAAAAGTAACGTCGTTAAAATAGCTACGGCACCGTTAACACGCGACCTGCTTTCACACTCGGAACGAGGAATGATATTTCCGTAGTAAGCACTAGCTATATTTTACTTTTTTTTTGTTTTTTTATACATTTTAATAACTCCGTAAAGCACGAGAACACATCAAACGATTGTGTAAAGAACCGCTGCAACCGACTTCGCCGAATCGAATCAGTTTTTATATCACATATAAAGTATAACTTTTGTATAAGTAAACCGATATTCGAATTAAACACAGCCAGAATAGTATAAACAGAGGAAAAAGATATTTTCGAAAAAATAATTAAATATCGCGTAAATATAGCGTTATGATTTAATTGTTTTCAAATGGAAATGCTTTTAACCGATTAAATTATAAAATTATTATTATTTGCCGGAAAAGTTTAAATTTGTTTTCGAAAATTAAATCAAGTTAAACAAATATATTTATAAAAATTGAAATCACGTGCATAATTCATTTAGAACGCTATGTAAAG